ACATTGTGACGGTTGGTTATTTGGGTTGAGACGCATACCTGATTTTTTTCCGATTTCAGCAGATTTGGCATATCATACCCATGCTGGAGACATATAAATACACCTTTATTATAGTTTAGTATTGGAATTATAAACATCTCAGTTAAGTATTTTTGTTTTGATCAGGGAAGCCTTCAAGATTCAAATAATTGCTTGATCTGTATTTCATTCGGTATTCTCGGGATGGATAACTCGTTTTTGAATAATCACGGCAAGCAATAGTTTTTTTGTCTCAAACAACGATATTGTTCAGCTTCATTTGATTATCAAGTCAAACACAGTGTAGTATGGAGGAATAAATAATCACTATTATCATTGTTGATATGCTCACTAACCTAACATTTTCCACGTCTTGTTCCTATAGCTGGCACTGGCGCGGTATTTGCCATTAGAGCACCTGGTCCACACACAAATATATCACTCTGTGGTTGTATTTATATTGAAACTAAAATTCGAACATTCTAGAAAACCTAACCTGCTGTTAATGCAGGTAGAATATTCTCACCACATGGATTATTTGTCAATATTTGTTGCATTGCATACATATGGCACGGCATTGGTGGTTACTTCACATATTTATTTAAGTTAATTGTTTCGGTTGCAGAAAAAATAGCATGTTTCATTCGGATCAAAAGTGACTTTGTTCGACTCGCAAAATTTTGCTTTCGCTCGGCTTCGCTAAACGCTCCGCCTCGCAAATGCAAAATTCGCTTGTCAAACAAAGTGTCACTTTTGATCCTAATTAAACAATCTACTATTTTCTTAGTCAATCCTACCCCGATACGACGTTTTTACGAACTTTGTCGGCTGATATCTCAGAAACTAAACATACAAAAGTTTTTAAACTCTACTATTGTCCACATCGACACAGGGTGATTAAATTTAAATTACTAATACAGCCAAGGGGGGTGAAACGGATTTAGTGGGGTGAAGAGGATCGTGGTGTAGTTTTACAGGTTTCTGTAAACAACTTGTGTTAATTGATCAAACAGAAGGTATCATCATTACCGACAAATCTATACTAATATTAAAAAGAGGAAAGAATAGGCCTTTTCATTTAGATGACAAATGCCTATTCCTGTTTTCATCTCGCATCCAACGACAGTGGCGGTCATTTTTACCGAAACACTTACACCTTAGTACCACACTCCTCAGTAACGAGTAAGTAAGTTTTTTTGGAATTAAATTATCATAATACAATTAATACACACCAGGAATATAAAAACAAAAATACTATGTTGTTATTGTTGTTTCTCTATGACGAATGCCCATGGTGGTTGACACTGTTGACATTTGACAGAACGT